ATGTAATTTCTGCCCTCTGGGGGAAGAGTCCCTCCACAATTGCCTTGAGCTTCGTAGCGCATGTTGTGACTGGTGGACGGAAGCTGCTTAGCTTTTTCATTACCAGCTTGTACCCTGTGCCCCATGGGTTATTCTCAACGTCATCGCACATCTCTCTGTAGCAGTTCCTTTTGCTTTGGGTGATAGCTTTTTTTAAGGTGGCTCTCGCAGCCTTATACTCTTCTTGAAGTTCGACAAAGTTTTCGCGACCTCTAGCTCTCTGGCATATTCGACGTGCGCGTATGCATTTCTTGCGGAGGTCGGCAATCTGTCTGTTCCACCAGTAGACGGGTTGTCTTCTAGCCTGTTGGCCTTTCTTGGCCATAGACGCGTTACAGGCATCAGCAATGCAACGCATCAGGATGGTCGCTTTGTTGCTCGCACTACCCATTAGGTGACACTCACCCATCGACAGTTTGAATGCCTCTTTGTCGAAGGTGGTGTCTCTCCATCCTGGATTGGGTCGGGTGCCATTTGTTGGGTTCCGTCTCGTGGGTCGTCTGTGGATCTCAAATATTATTGCCTGGTGGTCACTGTGCGTGTATTCATCCGATACGTGCCATTCCGCTGAGGGTAGTAGGGCAGAACTGATGAAAGTTATGTCGATCTTTGAGCTTCTCCCCCCTCTGGAGAAAGTGTCCTTTTCACCGCAGTTGAGCAGTGCTACATCCAGGGTTGCAAACGCTTCAAGAAGGTATTCTCCCCTGAGGTTCGTGCGATTTGAGCCCCACTCGACTGCCCATGCATTGAAGTCGCCTGCGATAACTATGGGCTTTACTTCTTCCGCGTCTTTGACGAGCTTATCAAGTGCATGTCTGTACTTCTCTAGCGGCATGCTGGGGGGGTAGTAACAGCTGTAGTATGTTATTCCGTTCACTGTGCTTTTTACGTATCCTTCCTCGCCGCTGTGCGTCTTCTCAAGTGGATACTTGCCGCATGTCCATATTGATGCTTTATTGCATCCGCTAGTGGTCCATCGTTGTGAGTCATCCGCTCTGTAGTGTTCGCTGAGGATTGCTAGGTCGATTTTTTGCTCGCGCACTATCTGTTTTAGAAGCTCCTGGGCAGCCTCGCAGTGGTTTAAGTTCAATTGAAGGACCCTCATTTGTGTTTATTCAGGACCTTCCTGCGGGCTGATATATAGTGGGGGCATTTAGGCCCTCCTGTGACATGCCTGGCGTCGGCATTTGGGTCGTTTCTGCATAGTAGGCAGTGTGGGTCTCCTTGGCACGCTTTGGCTAGGTGGTCAAGTCCCCCGCACTTGAAGCAGTGCTTCGACCAGTCTTTGAGACTTCTACAGTTTCTTGCCATATGCCCGAAGTCAAGGCATTTGTAGCATCTTGTCGGTGTAGACCTTTTGAGTAGTCTGCAGACTGTCCATCCAACTCGCAGTTTGCCTAACTCTTCTGCCTCTTTTGCCTGTTTCTCCGGTATGACGATTATGGCCGTCCTAGTGCCACCAGGAGCATCCCTGATTACTTTGATGGCCTCGCCATGTATGTCACCTATCTGGTTCCTCCATGCGGTGAGTATTTCGTCCTCCGTAGTCACTTCATCGAGGTACCTTAGCTCGAACGTGGCTTCTTGTGTAAGCATTCTGACCTCGACCTCAGTGGGCAGTATGCTTTTGATGTGCTCCTGTTGTTGTCCGGTGGTCACATCGGTTGCTCTCTTAAATTCGAGCAGCAGCTCTCCTTTTTGCGTCTTCCGTACGGCATGGACCTCTTCTCCGACTGTTTTCAATTCAGGGGCGGTTTTTACCTTCCTGAGAATATCTGCGAATGTCAGTTTCTCCGTCGGCTTGATAATCATGACATCAGGCCTAGGCGGTCTCCTTCGCTTTTTTGATACTTGTATCCACTTGCTGGTTGCCTGGCTGCTTCCTCCTTGTGTTGGTGCCTTTTCCATCTCTTGACTCGGTCCGCTTGCTTTGTCGGTTTTTGGCTTCGGTGTTCTTTTCGGCATGCTTGCATCTGTGTTATCCTGGTTCTCCTGTCTGTTAGTTTTCGTCTTTTTTGGAGGTGTTCTTCTAGGTCTCTCTACCTCTTCTCTTAGCCTTTTTGGTGTGCCGCGTACCTCTTGCTGTCGGGCAGTCTGTGTGCCCCTATCATTTGTACGCACGGATTTCTCTGCCTGCGGCTCCTTGGCCCTAGCTATTTGTTGGTATAGTGATGTTATCACCGCCACCAGGTCGCGCATTGGTTGGTGGATAGACCTTCTCCCACCACCAAACATTTCGTTGAGCTCGCCGATTTTCTCCCCCAACTTCGTGAGAGGGTCTCTCCCTTGTTTCGGAACCTGGACTAGCATTGGTTCGCTCTCTAGTTCAGGAGGAGATGACCGTGATCTTTCCATACTCCGCACCTGCAGGGTTTGTACTGGGGAGCGTGGTAGCCTCGATGCTTTTTGGAACGGGTTTTGCCCCGGGCTTCCCGTTAGTGCCTCTTTTGCGCTCTTTGCGCCGGCCTGAGGGCTAGAGCCTATCTGTACTTCCGCCAGTGTTGTTGTTGTTGTTTTTTCCATTTTTGAGCTGTTGGGTCCCAACTCGTAGCCGTTATCTTGTATTCGTTGTGTAGTTACCCTTATTTGGTCCCATGGTTATCTTTGCAATGCAGGGAGGCCATGCGAGGGTTGACACAAGACCTTATGAGTGCATGTGTTCAGAGCCAGACCGGGAGCTAGACAGAAGGATAACCTTAACTGACCCTACACCCCAACTTAACGGGACGATTACAAGAGCGTTCTACGAGGCTTGCCAGGTTTTAACGGGACGGGGGCAGGTGACGCATTAGCCTGAAAGCCGTCTGGACCAGATTCCACTCCAGCCCATATTGGTAACAGAATACCTCACCCACCAGCCTAATATCGTCTGTTCAAGGTGTTGCATGTTTGCCCAGTATACCATAATCAGGATCTTACTGGGGTCGATCCTGATGGGTCCTCGGACCCGCTTTTCCGCTTCTCCATTTGGTGTGCTCGTGGGTATTTCGGCTTGGTATGCCGGTTCTTCTTTAGGGTCTGCAGTCTTGCCACTGCTACTCCCACGTTTAGACGCACTTTCCATCCTTGTGTGTGTGTGTGTGTGTGTGTGTGTGTGTGTGTGTGTGGGAATTCCCATATTTCATGTGCTATGCGACATGACACACACATACATATGTAGGTATACGAGTACACACGCGTATCGGGTTTTGTTTTTATTTTGAAATTCGAAATTTTTCCCCCAATAGCGCAAATAATGACCGACAAATAAAATTGTCATTGCTCTAGGGGGGATTTATGGCGGTCAGTATAAATTTGAAACTTTGATTCATTTGTTCAATAAACTGTTAATTCGAACAGGTTTCGATAGCCTCGGTCTGCAAATTCCTGCAGTCAGTCCTGTTTTTTTCGGCCCAGGCTGACCTCCCAAGCTGGCAAATAAAGTGAAGTAAATTATGCTTTAAAGCTTTCTTTCAGGCGCCTTTTTGAAACGGCTCGCAATTTTCATTCCCGAATCGTTGGCCAAACGGTATGATGTCGATCCATTTATAGAACAGAAAAAGTTTAGTCTAGTTCTGGGACTGGAAGAGAATCAGCTACCTTTAGTCAGGACTTTAATGCGTGCGCTTCACTTCAGCTCTCAATCCAAACTGACTCGAGCATTATTTTATTCTATGCTCTCTCGCAAACATACCGAGAGCGTGTTTACAGTTAATCTTAAATGTATGTATGCATATGTATGTACAGTGATCTTAGATGTTAACAATATTGCTACAGTATGTTTATATACAGTGGTCTTACGTAATAACTACAGTGCTACATACCATTAGCTGCTTCCAATTGGAACTGTTGGAAGCTAGCGATTTATTTTATTATATTTTTATGTTAATAACAGAAAGTAAAGAGAACTTACAATTAAAATCTGTTAAGTCCACATTAATGTTACTTTAAGCAACTTTTTAAGAATGTTGTTTGCTTTCCATTGATATTCTTGCCAATTGGGGGAATATCTCATTCACATAAAACATCTAATTGATCAAAAACTAAACTTTTAATTGATTAATTGATAAGTGCATTAAATTGCAAGTCAAATATGATTCAAAATCTGCTCATACTATTCGTTGACTGTCTTTCATTCTTCTTCTTCTATCTAAACCTTTTCGATTCAATGCTGATGTGAGTTTCCCGTCTCCCATCATCGCAATGTGTAGATCCCCCCTCCCCAAACATTTCGAACTGTAAAATTCCGAATCACTTAAAATTCATTAAATCGCATGCGAGTGTAAAGTTAATTGCACACTCACACTCACAGACGCACACATGCACAACAGCTACGCTCGCACTCTCATTTTACGAAGTGCAAAAAAAAAACAACAACAAACTAATAAATGTGTAATAACCGTAATCAGCTGGTAAATGTCTTTAACACTAAGCAGTCTGTTACTTCTACAGTTGTTCAGCATGGCAAGAAGTGCCTTTTATGAATGGATGCATGTATGTGTGTGTGTGTGTGTGTGTGTGTGTGTGTGTGTGTGTGTGTGTGTGTGTGTGTGTGTGGCACCATGTTAACCAAAACAACAGAAGCCAAAAGCCAAGCTTAGGTAACGACGACAGCGACGACAACAACAGCCGGCATTTGCACAAGACAACAACAATAAGCAAAATATTCACTCGCTACGTCATCAACTCTTATACAATTGAGAGAAAAACCAGTATTTTGTTCTCTCACAGCGCTCTCACCCATATTACTCGCATGCGAAAAACACCCACAATAGAAACTAACTCCTGCTGCTGGCCAGTGCAACGAACGCACATTGCTCGCTCATTTTCTCATTCGTGCGCTCATTTTCTCGCATAACAACACGAAGGCATTGCCAGCCACCGGCTCTCATCTCATCCATGTCTGTGCTGTGGCATTGACTTGCCATCAGCTTTGGGCCGCTCAGTTTAGTTGAGTTCCGTTTAGTTTTGTGTGAGACGCCGTCGTGTTCGTGCGCTGTACGGTCAAGAATTAGTCAAAGCCTGGACGAACGCCGGGTATTTGGGAAAAATAAAATTGGCTCAAGCTTGGCGTAAAAGAAAATCAAGTTAATATATCGGTAAATGAAAATTGCAAGCTGTGCGTGCATTGTACACGTATATTTTGGCAACTGATGCGTTGAACAGCAGCAGCAATGCAAACGCAATTAAATGCAAATGCGTGAAAGTGTAACATTCGGGCGAATAAGTTTCCAAAACGCTGTACGAAGCGTGAACAAGCGCTCTTTTTGACCAAAAGCCAAAACAGCAACAACACGCATTCCCAACCAAGTTGTTGGTTAGTCTGTTTGTTTAACAATTTTTGCGTGTCCTCCACAACTTTTGCGTGCTATTCGTAAATTTCTGCTGTATATGTTTAACAGTGTAAGTGTTTGTTTGTAGAAAAAATATTGAAAAATTTATTACAAAAGAAAAATTAAGACTTGTGCATGTGCTTGGAATTTTGAAGCAGCCCGAATAACAGCAGACAGAATAACAGTAATACAAGTAACTGCTAACTAAAACGGTAAGTTTTTACACAATTTCGCTCAGTAACTCATTACATTTTTTCAAATTACACTTTGAACTCTGTTTTGTTTGTGACTTATAATTACGCTCTGGTGCTTTGTAAGCTGTGCTTTATTCGCTTCGCTAGCCATCTCGCTCTAGCCCATGCAGTACCCAGGTTTAAACGTAAGCTTAAGCTTTCAAGTGCTGTTGTTGTTATTGCCATTAATGCTATTAAGCGGTTAATTTGCGTGTTACTTTTTATTTTGACGTTGCTCTTGCGCGCGCACTTTACAGACAATTGCAAACAACTGTTACAACAACAACAACAACAGTAACTTGTTACTTGTTACCGTTGCACAATTTTAGCATATAAATTGTTTTTGTTGTTGTGTGTTTTTGTTTTGATGCTTTTGTTGTTAATGTTAAATGTGTGACGCAGCGTGGCATAAAACACTTGTTATGCTTTACTTTTCCTCACTTTGGCTTCACTTTTTGTGGCTTCTCGCGCCTTTCTTCTTATCTGCCCAACATTTGCACATTTTTTTCGCTTTGTTTGGTTTTGTGGCATTTGATGCTCGACCCCCAAGCTTACTCTACTTTGTAACCATCGAGTACTTAGCAATGCGCTTTACTTTAGTTACCCACATGTTTACGGATCCTATTTTTAAACTCTTGCTAGCTGCAGGATTACGTGAAATCTTTGTGTGGTACAACCAGCTGAGAAATACCCTATATGGAGCTGATAATTGTGATTTGCAAATCTGTAATTCATTCAAGCCCATTAATGACAACGATAATTCTTGTATAGCTTATTAATTGAATCACATTTACAAATTTATTTTATTTTATTTTTTTATACAAAAAATGCAACAAGAGAGAATATGCGAAGATTTTGATGAATTTGTTAAATATAGCCGACATTTGTATTTAAACGTCGAAATACAAGGCTGTATTCATATACGAGTATCACCCGAAAAAGCCCTCTTATATATTTATTTTCCAGCCAAAATATTATTATAATATCAAATATTTTATTAACATTAACGAACATTTTTATGATAGTTACTATATGCAAAAAATGTTCTCTATAAGTATGCTTTTCATACATTAAACAAATACTTCAAAGAAATTTTCAGTTATCGTTGTTAAAAATTAATCTTGTTAACTTAAGCGCACATGTTGCATACCCTTTTACCCACAGTATAGAGGGTATGAAAACATTCCGCCAACATTTACATTCGACATAGCCACATGTATAAACACATTTTTACACACCTATATTTATGTATGCATGAGTATAAAAATTTGTATATGTATGTACATATTTATGTGTTTTCTGTTTTGTTTTGCCAAACCAGTTTTAATACCAAACTTAAAACAACAATAAATGTTTCATGTGCAAGATTCGCTCAACAGGTTTTTAATTTTTTCGCGCTCCCAATGGCAGCTCCGCTCGCGGAATTAACGTTGTTATCATATGTCTTACGATTGCTATGAATTTAGTTTCTGCATTTTCCTGTAAACATTACATCTAAACACAATATTTATTTAGTGTAATAATATTTGTACTTATGTACATTTGGCAGACCATAGCTGCTTCTGCTTATCTACTTTTCTATTGGTTTTACAAAATTGCAAAACCTTTATTGATTTATATTCGTTTTCCCCTTTAGCTGCGGGGTAAAATATATACCCCATATTAGAGGTGCATATACATACATAGTTGTAAGTATAATCAGAACTTTAGCTGAAATGATTCGTTTTCTGACATTAGCATTGATCTTTATTGATAAGCAACAGGCGGATTTGTTGTTAATGATTAGTGAGTTACTTACTTGAGATTCCACTGAGAATCTAACACTTTATTCCTAAGCTAATAATAGTAATACTACTTAATCGACCAAATCGATACAAAGGAACAATGTATGTATGCATTTAATTACTCTACTTGCTTGACCTCTAATAAAATATATTAAGTACACCACTTAGGAAAAAGCACACCTAAGCTCCTACCTCCAAAGTGGTTCCAAGCTTCGGAGTGTTAATTCAACAACTTGGAAACTCTAAATAGGTTATTGTAATGATAATCTTTAATGTCAGGGTGGACGACTCAAATAAAATGGTTCTTAATTAAGAAAATTTTCTATTTTTAGAAAATAAAAGCTATGAAAACTATAATTTAATGACTTTATGCACCTGTTTCAAATATTTTTACTAATTTGTAGAGAAATCTGTAAGCTAAATGAAATAAAACGAATACAGCAACAGGCACACAATTCTGTTTAAAACATACATATTCATGCAAATAGCGTTAAAAAGTTGATTTCAATTGTAAATATTTGTTATATAAGCCAATAATCTGAATGGTTTTTATTCTGAAATAATTGCCCAAATTGAATTTGTTTCAATAACTAAGTACATAATAGCTCTTCTTTTGCGTTGCCAACTAGTTGCAGGCATTGTTACATATATGTAAATATAAACATATAGTATTTGTCATAAAAAACGAGTGAGTAGATGGAAATAAATAGTTTTAAAAGTCATTTGCATGCAGGCATTATCAAAAACTGATAGCAACATTCTGTGGCGTAAACAATCGTAGTATGTGTGTATGCGAGCAGCGATAAGCCATACACATTTTCCAGAAGCGCTGAGGAGCCGCTTTCAGTGCAGATAAATACTTCATTATTTATGTTATTTTAAAAAAATCTATTATAACATTTTTAATTGTTTCGTTGAACTGCAGCAGCCAAAGTAATGAAAAGAAACTCACGTACTGGTTTGTCACGCAGTCGCGACTGGCGATGCGACCCCGTCGGCCCCAAGGCTAGACTGTCTCGCAGCCATAACAAAACTGAACCCACATGGGTGCTCTTAATTTCTGATTTTAAGCCGCAACACGCTCACTGCTATTGTTGCTGTTGTAGTTGTTGTTGTTAATACATACAACAAAAGCCAGTGCGCGGATTTAGGTCACCTTTTGGCAAGATCAAAGCACAGACTCATTCACTTGCCAACTTCAAACAGAATGCTCCATCAGCAACAATAACAAAAGATGCAAAGGCAACATCAGTTAAAACAACAACAACAATGCCAACAACAGTTGAAGGTAAACTGCGGAAGTCATTTAACAGTCTACTTAGTTTTACTGCCAAAAAAACACAACGAATGCCAAAAACGAAATGAGAAGAGCGTGAGAGGCGAGGAAGATGCTACGGTTTTGGGTTTTTAGTAGAAAGTAGCTGTAATTGTTGCGCAGTTATTGTTACTTTTACCGTTGTGGAGCAACCGCCGCTGCCACCACCAAAAAATATCTAAACAAAACGTTGAGACCAACAAAAATTTGTAAGCCGCCCGCCGCACAGTGGTGCAAACGCTCAAAACATGATAGACCAAGTGCTTAGTCTTTATTTCCTAGTTAAGATCATCTCTTATTTATTGCTGTCGACGTTATTAGTTCAAGACTTGTTTTACTTTCCATTGCCCGATAAAGACATCATTTAGTTACCCGCTGTTTTACTTCATAGTAGCTGAGAAACTCATCTTGAAATAATAGTTGTGTTGGTTTTGGTTGAATTACCAAGTGATTTATAATGCTTTCATGTGCTGGCCTGATTATGGTGTTGGACTACTTTGAGGAGAATACAAGTTTATAGTTTCAGTTGTAGAACTCGTAACTGTTCTGTAATTCTTTCAATCGCTGATATCTACCGAATCCGGAACGGGTCTATATAAATATGAAATGAGGTTAATGTAATGTCGTTTCACAAACGAAAAGTATTTTTCGATTTGAAAGAAAAACCTACCTAAATGCGAATGTGAAATGTGAATAAATATTTATTTTCTCTAAATGTCAGTCATTCCTAATGACATTCAAATACAAATCAAATGGATTCCTTTAACTCCAGATTATAGATTGGTTTAGCTGGAGCTTTGAATACCACTGTGAGCCGTATAGTCCCCATCTTAGCCAGGAAACTTTTACTTGAAAATAGAAACCATTTGCTGTTAGACATGTGATTTTTTTCACTTCATTTTATTTACTTGCTCGCCTCTTTAAACCGCAAAACATTGACACTGACAAGTTGTTTTTGTTATGCTTTTGACAATGGGTTTTTTTGTTGATATTTTGATTTCGCAGCGTTTGGCTGTGGGTGCTTGAAAGTCGGCTTGTGTGCCCCATTGTCTGACTCTTCGCTTATTATACACATATGCAAATTTTAATCATTTACTTTGCTTCTCTTTCGGCACCGTCAAAAATCAATAGGCGCGCCTTCGTTGCTTCCAGCATATGCCAAGCTTTTTTCTTTTCATACACTTTGAAAAAATACTGATAAGAAAAAAGCAGAAAGTGACCTTTCCATAAGCTTGTCCTATCTACTTCTCCGTCGTATTCATCGCAAAACCTAAAACCAAAATTGTGTATGAAACAAAAAACATTTAAGAAACAGTTAGCTTTTGTTTGAAACATCCAAAATGGGGTAGAACTGAACATATTTATTTTCAAATACAACTACTGGTATACATATTAACTATAACTATTAACAATAGCTTTAATTATTGCATATCAGAAACACTACTTATCCCTTAAAAATGCATGCACCGATTACAACTCAGCTATTGCTGTTGTAATTAACGTCCATAATAACAACAGATTCCTGATAAATAAGTTGATTTGCAGTAACCAGCCACATTGCCATTAGAGGCAACGAAACGGTTGACTAAGTTATGCACAAAGCTAACACTAATTCTATATACCAACTTCAGCTTCAGGGATAATATCCAACAACTACAATCAGTTGTAATACACATTGTCCTGAAACAAACGCTTACAGAAAACAGGAAAGCCTGAAACTATTAAAATTTCTAAAATACAATTTAAATTTTTTCTACTTGAAGACCCTAGCAATAATGTAACCTTTATATTTTTACTTTTGAGCTAGCATTATAAACTTAACTATAGCTATAGCTATAAGCTATGCACGCATATAGACAGATATATAAATAAATATAAAG